AGGAGTGGGGGGAACAACACTTGTGGAAGGTACAAAAAGGGGGGATGAGAAGTGGATCCCTAATCTAAAACGACAAAAAATCCAAGAAGTGAGCAGTAGTGAAAACGTCCCCCCTACAGTAGGGAAAAATATAACACATGGAGGAACTCTTGTAAAAGCCAAAATAAAATAACAGCCCAATGTGCTTGAATAAGAGTCAGAAAAAACAATGAAACTAAACAATGAAACATCCAGCCAAGTTTTGAAGCATGGAAATAGTGGCTCAACATAGTCCAACAGTCTCATCCCAGGAACCATAATGTACCTCAGTCCACATTCCCGTATCAGTAAACAAACTTTTTAGCAGCTAGAAATGCATGTAGATAGCAAATGTAGGTTAATGTCCAACATAAAGCATATCCAACGAATCTCCAATAAGTAAGGGACAGAGAGGGGAAGGTGGGGATTAACCCACTCGAGGCACATCACCTGCATGCCTAGTTAACCAGTCAGCACATGAATTCCCCTCTCTATGAATGAAACTCCAATGCAAAACTAGGTGCTCTTTATCAATAAGAGCCTGAATTTTTTTTTGCATACAGATAAGATCCCAATGGGGATGAAAGCACCCACTAACATATTATAAATCAGGCACCATAATGTACCTCAGTCCACATAGTCCACATTCCCGTATCAGTAAACAAACTTTTAAGCAGCTAGAAATGCATGTAGAAAGCAAATGTAGGTTAATGTCCAACATAAAGCATATCCAACGAATCTCCAATAAGTAAGGGACAGAGAGGGGAAGGTGGGGATAAACCCACTCGAGGCACATCACCTGCATGCCTAGTTAACCAGTCAGCACATGAATTCCCCTCTCTATGAATGAAACTCCAATGCAAAACCAGGTGCTCTTTATCAATAAGAGCCTGAATTTTTTTTTGCATACAGATAAGATCCCAATGGGGATGAAAGCACCCACTAACATATTATAAAGCAGGTTAGAGTCCGTTTCAACTCTAAGCATAGTAAACTTGAAAGATTTAGCCATTTTTAAAGCAAGGAAAACCCCCCAACATTCTGCCAATAAGGGGGTCATAGCTGCAACAGGGGAAGCGAAATAACACAAAAAATGCCCCAAATGATCTCTAAAAAGTTCACCCACACCAGCAGACATATCATTCCAACTAACATCAACATTAGCTTTTACCCAACAAGGAGGAGGAGGCTTCTATCTAACTAACGAAGGGAGCCATGTTCTCTTATCAATAGGTTTAACAGTAGTAAAATTCTTTAGGGCCTTAGAGAAATAGGCTAGGATATAAGAAGTAATAATAGAGGGAGTAGGGGGTGAGCTAGCATACTCATGACTGTTCCTAGTAGACCATAGAATTCAGAGTACCACCAGAGAGAAAGAGTAGAGCATTCCCCTAAAGCCAGCATAGGTCTTCCATTCCCACAAAAAGTTAATCAAAGTTCCACCATGAGTTCTGGAAATACCATAATGTAAGCCCAATTGATTCCAAACATTTATAGAAAAAGCGCATTCAAACTTCTATCAAACTAACGAAGGGAGCCATGTTCTCTTATCAAGAGGTTTAACAGTAGTAAAGGTCTTTAGGGCCTTAGAGAAATAGGCCAGGATATAAGAAGTAATAATAGAGGGAGTAGGAGGTGAGCTAGCATACTTATGACTGTTCCTAGTAGACCATAGAATTCTGAGTACCACCAGAGAGAAAGAGTAGAGCATTCCCCTAAAGCCAGCATAGGTCTTCCATTCCCACAAATAGTTAATCAAAGTTCCACCATGAGTTCTGGAAATACCATAATGTAAGCCCAATTGATTCCAAACATTTATAGAAAAAGCGCATTCAAAAAAGATGTGTCTATAACCTTCCTCAGAATTCTTGCATAAAGGACACATAGAAGCCAATCTTAATCCATTAAGTTTCAAAATATTATCTAATGGGAGAAAAGAGGAGAAATAACGCCAGAAGAAGAAGAAGATAGAGGGGGAGAACAATTTATGCCAAATCCAAGATCCCCAATACCATACATGGTAATATTGTAACTTTACATAGATCATTTTACAAACAGATTGAGAGGAATTCTTCTGCTAAACAAGATAGTCTATGCGGGTAAGCTGAGCAGGGATTTTAGAAATATGCAAAAAATTCAGTTCCCCAACCAAAGAGCACTGCTTAGAAATATCCCAATATCCTTTTGTACAGAATTTAGAGATGGATGTGTGTAATTGAGAAAAGTAGGCATTCCCCAATTATCATTCCAAAACGAGAGGTTCCCCTCCCCAAGATTCCAAAAAATAAAATTTCTTGCAATTGATCTAGCATTCAAAATAGCTTTCAAAATCCTAGAGTCTCCCACCTTCCACTTCACTTAGGAAGGGTGGGTTGAAGAACAATAATTGTGATGCATAAAAGAAGCCCATAGTGAAGAACCATGTCTAAACTTAAACCAAAGTTTGCACATGTTAACTTCCACAGTTTGTTGCAAAGTTTTGAAACCAAAACCCCCAGATTTTTTAGGTTTCCAAATTTTATGCCAAGAAGCCCATATTTTCTTAGATCCACTCCGAGCCCAAAGGAATTTGTTGAACAACCATTCCAAAACTTTCAGAGCACTTTTTTTAGTGTTGAACACTTGCAAAGCATAAAGTGGTATACTTTGTATCACACTAGAAAGTAGAGTCAGCCTATCCCCATTTGAAAGAAAGTCATTCCTCCAATCTACATTTTTATACTTAATTTTGTCAATGATATCATCCATTTGAATTAGCTTTTTCCTTCCCCTAAGCAGATTAACCCCAAGGTATTTTAAAGGGAGAGAGGATAAATGATAACCAGTATAAAAAATCCCCCAATTTACATTTGAAATCCTGACATTCTTGCCAAAATAAAGTTGGCATTTCTCATAATTAAAAGATAAACTAGAATAAATTTGAAAATCTTTTAAAATCAACATTAACCTTTTAATAGCATGTTTAGAGGCATTAGCAAAATAATAATATCATCAGCATGAGCTAAGTGAGAAACCAACATCTTAGCCTTGTGTGAGAATTGAGTGTGAGGATGCAGCAATTAAAAATTATTGAGCAATCTAGATAAATAATCAAAAGCAATGATAAAGATAGTAAGGGAGAGAGGATCTCCCTGCTTAATACCCCATTTTGTTGAGAAAAAGCCATATGAGTCACCATTAACCAACACACTGTAATAGTTTTTAGACAACCATCGTTTAATGAGCATGCAAAAACTAGCACTGAAACCTCTAGCAACTAGAACATTGATGATGACATCCCAAGTGCTTGTACCAAAGGCCTTCTTAATGTCCAGTTTAACAATCATATTGCCACCCCTATATTTCCTATCAAGATTTTTAATAACTTCTTGGGCCAGTAAAATATTGTCAGTAATTTCTCGACATTTAACAAAAGCTGATTGTTGAGGGGAAATAATAATGGAAAGATGAGGTTGTAAATGAGTCACAAGCAATTTACTTATTAACTTGGATACAACAGAAGTGAGGTAGATAGGTCTAAAATTTTTCCAATGAGTTTTATCAGTTGTTTTAGGAATTAAAACAATCCTGGCAGTCGTGAAATATTTACCTATGTCTTTTCTTTGAAAAAAACCTTGTATGACCAAAATCACCTCATTTGTTATGATGTGCCAACATGTAATGTAGAAAGCTGAAGTAAAACCATCAGGGCTAGGGGCCATATTGGAGTGGATAGCCTTAAAAGCAGAAAAAATTTTAAATTTAGGAGGATCTAAGATGAAAGAGATGCCACAAGCTCTCTTGCAATAGCAAAGAGCTCAGAATCCAGTGAAGAAACCTGAACAGCATCCGCATAAAGAGTAGTAAAATAATCAGCAGCATCAGAGCCAATTTGATCAACATCAGTGAGGACAACACCATTTGTATTGACTATTTTTATAGTAGAATTCATATTCTTTCTATGCTTGATGGGAACATGGAAATATTTGGTATTACCATCCCCATTAGAAAAGTGCACATCATTAGCCTTTTACCTTAAGAAATCTTCTTCAAATGATATCTCCTCAAGAATTTTGTGATGAGCCTAAGCCACCTTATCAACTAGAGAAGGAGTATAAATAACCTGTGATTCCAGCTCTTCCACCTCTTGTTGTGCCTATAGAACTCTAGAAATGAAATTACCAAAGACATCAAAATTCCAATTTTTAAAGCTAGCTATCACTTTTTTATGCAAATGCCAAAGAACAAACCATGGTCTGCCACTCATCTCAGGACTCCAAACCTATTTAATCAAGCTCAAAATGGAATGATGAGAGGTCCAAACATTGAAGAACCTAAAATGAGAATGAGCTGGTTTAGTGTGAAAAGCCAAAGTAAGCTTGATAGGATTATGATGAGAAGCAGCATGATTAAGGTGTTGTACACGAGAAATGTTATAATACTCAAGAAAAGAAGAATTCACCAAAAATTTGTCCAACCTTTACATAAGGAGATCTCTCCAATTATAAGGAGAATAGAGAAACCCAAATCAAAAAGACTAGCTTCAGTAATATGCTCATTAAATCGAGTGATAAGACTTGAATCAGCTCTAGCACCACCTCGATTCTCTAAAGGGGGACATGACCATGTTAAGATCACCTCCAAAAAACCAATTCTCAGTAATAGAAATGCCCATATGGATAAGTTTTTGCCAAAGTAAAAATTTATCCTGTAATAAAGAACTAGCATAAACAAAGGTAGCCCACCCGTAGAACTTCTCCAAAATATATTGCACTAAAACATATTGCATATCATCATCAATAATGTTTAGCTGTAAGCCCCTTTTCCAAAAATGCTA